CCAGGCTGTGTCAGAAGACGATGGCCCCCGTCGCTAGCTAGCGTGGGGCCTGCAGTGATGCGGTGGTGGAGCCCTCGCCCTGGAGCGCAGGAGTCAGAGCCTCCTGATGAGAACCTGCGCCTTGTCTGGTGCAGACTGCTCCAGCTCCCGTGGCTTTCAGAGCACACCTGTGCTGTGGGAGGGTCTGCGTTCAAACCCCTTATGTGGTGACAGCAACAGGGTGGGGAAACTTGGAGAAACCGGGCTGTGGCACCTGATCTGTGTGTGCTGGCATCTTAGGTAATAAAACCTCACATTCGGAAAAAAAAAAAAAAAAAAATTTTAATGACTGAGTGTCAGTTATCTTAAAGACACAGAAGTAAAAACAGGAAACCACTAGTACTAGATGGCTTAAACATCATTTAAAAAATCATATTTATGCTTTTTTTTTTTTTTTTTTTTTTACTATAATAGGGCGCGTGCGCTTGCCAGACAGAGACAGACAGAGAGACAGAAAGCGAGAAATCACGCCCAGGGGGGATGGCCACATCGCAATCCCTTCTCCTCCATTCTCCTCTTGGGATCTTGGGCATGCACGCACAACTACTCGGCATGAGTTTTAAGTCACCGGGTCCAGGACTCAAACCACAGTCGACTACATGGGAGTCCAGCAACATAGCCATTATGCTAACTGCTGGTCCTCATATTTATGCTTTTAATTGGCTTTGTATAATCCCACTTTACAAAAGAGCAAAAGTAAACTTTGGTCATATCTATGTTAATGATTTTACATTTCGATATTGTTCTAGAAGAATGTCACTTTTTTGGGGGGGGGGAGAGGTTTTTGCTATAGGGCGCATGCCATCACCAGAAAGACAGAGATAGACAGAGAGACAGCGAGAAATCACCCCTCCCACAGGGGATGGCCATGCTGCAAATCCTTCTCCTCCATTCTCCTCTTGGGATCCTGGGCACGCTCACACACGTGCCCGGCATGAGTTCTAAGGCACCAGGTCCGGGATGCGAACCACGGTCTACTACATGGGAGTGCAGCGACATAGCCATTACGCTAACTGCTGGTTCCCTGTAATACAGTGCTAAACTGCTTCCAAAACTTGAATTTGAAGTAGAGCAACTCTGAACATTTTAGAGGTTTTTGCTATAGGGCACATGCGCTTGCCAGACAGACAGAGAGACAGAAGTGAGAAATCACCCCCCCAGGGGGAGATGACCACGCTGCAATGCAATCCCTTCTCCTCCATTCTCCTCACGGGATCTTGGGCACGCACGCACATGCACCCAGCATGAGTTTAAGCCACCGGGTCCAGGACTCGAACCACGGTCAACTACATGGGAGTCCAGCAACATAGTCATTACGCTAACTGCTGGTCCCTTTAGGCAGCACTTCTGAGGTCCAGAAGCAATTGAACTAAGGATAAGAAAGTCAGCCAGTCTGCATGGCATGGCTCTCCAGTACCCCTCTCTGACCCTGTTTCTGGGACTTCTCTCCTCACCTCCATGCTATCCAGTAATGTTAAAGACTGACAGCAGAGGCCAACAGAACCCTGTGCTGTTGCCCCCTTGCTATAGAGTGTTCCTAACTTAAGTGGACATATTTCAGGGTAGAGGTGTCATTTATTTGATCTGTGTAGAAGGTAAGAAGTAATTCGATTCCAAGACAATTCATGTCCCACAAAAGCAGTCTTCCCAGTTTCTCAGGATTAATTATTATACACAGTCCTCCTGATTCTGCCACAAAAAAAGAGATTCCACTGACCTGCTTCTGTTCCTTATATTAGCTTAGTGGGTATTCTGTATTCAGGCTTCATCTATGGTTGCAAATTCACCTTATTGTTATTTTTTATTTTTTTTAGGTTTTTGTGATAGGGTACATGTGCTCTCTGAAAAGAGAAAAAGGGATTGTACTCCCTAGGGCTGTACAATCCCTTTTTCTCCATTCTCCTCTTGGGATTTTGAGCATGCATGCACACATGCCCAGAGTGATTTTCAAGCTACCAGCCCAGGGTTTGAGCCTTGGCTAGCCATGTGGGAGTCCAATGCCTTAACCATCATGCTACCTGTTGCCCCCCCCACACACACACCCTTATTGTTTTAAAGCAGTATTTTGGATTTTGAAATTAATTTTATAGGGCTATGTAGCCTTTAGGGCAATTTCTCTTCCCATTAAAATACAAGGACCGGAGACCGGCAGGTGATGTGGTGGCTAAGGGCACTAGACTCCCACATGGCCAACTACAGTTTGATTCCCAGACCTGGTGACTTGCTTTCTCACTTTCTTTCTCTTTCTCTCTCTCTCTCTCTCGCTCGCTCGCTCTCGCTCTCACTCTCTCCCCAAACATAAATGAATGAATGAATCAATCAATCAAGTTAATAAAATAATTCTTTTTTTAAAAAAAGTACAGGGACCATATTCTGGTTTTTATTTTATGGTTCAAAAGTGTACAGATCTAAGAAGTGTCTATGACTCCAGCACTTGCTCACTACTCCGTGAATTTTTGGAAGTCATGAAGTACCCTTTGGGCAGCAGGTTAGAGAAGTATTGCATAGTCAGAGGAAGTACTCCTGTGTTCCTCATGGTCAATAGTATCTGTGTTTGTATTAGCCAAAAGCATGGACCTGCATGTACTTATCAGTCCTCCCTTGCTAATCTCTAAAGCTGAAATTTCTTATTAGGCCACAAGGTGGCAGATTAATTGCAGGAGAAAAAAAAATTAGTACAAAAGCAATAGAGAAATTTTTTCAGCTGTAGTGAAATAAAAAAGTAGTATTTCCTCTGACTAGAAGATATATTTGCTAAAAGTCTCAATGATTTTAAAGCATTAAATGTTTCAGTGTTCCTTTGGGAGAAAAAAATATATCTCTATTTTCTAATAATCTTGAACATACAGTTTACTCAATTCCTACCTGGCAAAGGCCTCTCATGGAAGCCCCAGATACGACTCCAAGGACTCAAGAATTTTTCACCTTCTGCCCTTGTGAATCAATCAAATGCTTTCCTGCTGGCATTTTCCTTTCTCATGCCCCTGAGCACTGTCATTGCATCATGCCCACCTTGGCTGAGACTGAATAACGCACTTTGTAATTTCCTGGACCACTCCAACTGCTCCTAACTGACCTCTGTTCCTCCAGCCTCTCCCCCTTTTAACCTACTGTCACCAGAGTTGGCTAGCTGGATGACAGAACTGACCACATCACTTTCCTACTTAAAAGCCCACTGCACTGGCTGTGGGGTCAAATGCAAACCCCAAAGCATGGTACACAGATCCTCTCTAACCCACCCAACAACACACATGTGCACAAATGCACACACATTGATTCAACAACACCAACTTTTTTTCCATATCTCTGAGTTTGCACACTGTCCCCTCTATCTCGAATGCTCTTTCCTGTCTGTACCTAGCAAACACCCAGACCCATACCTAGCTTGATGCTATCAGGTGAAACTGTGCTGTTCCTGCCTATCTACCTTAAGTACTCTGTGCCAGACCTCCTTGCACTGAACTCATCCCGTTGGCATACAGATAATAGACTTTCACATGTCTGTCTTTCCCACTAAAGGAATCTCTGCAAATGGAATGGAATGAGTGGTGAGGAGGGGGTCATTTCCAAGTAAAATTTTGGAAATTAACAAGGAAGGAATTACAGTATCTTGTCTGATACACAGAATAGTCACCCACAAGTCTGTAAAGGAATGGAGGGAAATGATGGTTTTGGGTGTGGAGAGTCATTGGTTGGACAAATATTACTGTTTCCTTCCTGCAGGGTGACATTGGGCCAGGAAGGGTGAGCAGAATGGCTTTAGATCAGCCAGAGAGTCCTAGGATTGAGGAAGAGGGAAAGCCATAGAGGCCAGTTCCTTGTACTCTATTTGGCAAAGAAATATGAGGCTGAATCTGTTCCAGAACAGTGATGCTCCTCCTCACATTTTTTTTTTCTTTTTCAGAGAGATTTTTTCTCCCCTTATAGGGCATGTGCCCTTGCCAGAGGGATAGAGAGAGACAGAGACAGAAACAGAAAGCAAGAAATCACTCCCAAGGGGGTATGGCCACACCACAATCCCTTTTCCTCCATCCTCCTCTCAGATTTTGGGCACATGCACACACATACTGGCATGAGTTTTAAGTTGCCGGGTCTGGGACTTGAACTGTGGTCGACTATGTGGGAGTCCACATTTTCTACATGCTCCTGATTTCTTACTGTCTGCCTTGGTCCCACCAAGATGCAATAGATACTCTCCTGTGTCTTTACATTTAATTAGATAGGAAGGTTTTTGAGCACCGTAACAACTGTCATTCATTACTACTTGAACTTATTACAGGAATATTTTGGAATATAAGAGGGCAAAGCTGGACAAATATGCTGAGTTCAATGACTTGTCCTTAAAATAGCAAGTATATGCTACTCTGGGCCACCACCTTGTGTGTGATCATCAGTGGGGAATATGGTTGGTTGCATGATCACTGTCACTTTTTTTTTTTTTTTGGAGAGGTTTTTGCTATAGGAGGTGTGCGCTTGCTAGACAGACAGACAGAGAGACAGAAAGCAAGAAATCACCCCCCAGGGGGGATGGCCACGCTACAATCCCTTCTCCTCTCGGGATCCTGGGCACGCACGCACATGTGCCTGGCGTGAGTTTAAGCCACCGAGTCAGGGACTCGAACCACGGTTGACTACGTGGGAGTCCAGCGACGTAGCCATTACACTAACTTCCGGTCCCCACCACTGTTACATTTTCAATGAAAGAAAAACATCAAAAACTAAATAATCAGACCAGTTGCAGCAGCACGCAGGTAGCAGCACTGCTTGGGAGGCTGGAAGCCACATGATCCCAGGTTTGGTTCCTAGACCAGCCTGAAACACATTGAGCATGATTGCATACACTTGTAATCTTGGCTGATAGGCTGGGGCAGAAGCATCATGACACGACAAGTCCTTGTCAAGAATGCCTGTCTCAGGCCCTCCCCATGGCTTAGTGGTTAAGGGAGCTGAATGCCACATGGATTGACTGTGTGGTTCAAATCCCAGCCCCAGCAGCTTTCTATAACATCCCAAGAAGGTATGCATATATGCCCAATTCCTGACAGGATAGAGAAATGGAAGAAAAGGGATTACAGCATGAACACGCCCCATCGGCAGTGCTTTTTCTCTCTCCTTCTCTCTGTGTCCCTCAGGCAAGTCTCTCAAGCCTTCTTTTATTTTTTAAATTTTTATTTATTGTTGATATTTTATACATTCAATTGCTAATTTTAAACATAAAATATACCTCAGACCAGTCCAGTTGAGAATACT